AGTGTAATAATATCTGATTAGTGCATGTACATCACTTGTCTGATAACAGTTATTGTGTATGCCAAGCATTCTGAAGACGATACCACGATTTCAAATTCATTGTTGTGCATGTGTGTTTCAGTATCGCTTTGAGGTGTATTAACTATGATTAATGCTGTCTGCGTTCCGCTCTGTAGCGGTGTGTGCTTTTTCATTTTGTGACACTGAACTTACTTGGTTTCGGTTTTCCATTGACAGTCGTAGTGGTGATCGATATGGTTTCCGGTGTTCTTGTGGTAGCTGTCAAAAAGAAGGTTGAAACACATCAACAATGATATTGATTTGGTTTAATTGCGACTAGTTGAAATTATGGTTTCCATATTATTCCTGTTTATCGATGTGGACTTCCACATGGACAATATTCATGATCATTTGATGTTATCACTGTCTGTGGTTTGATACTTGGTTTCCCCTACACCTGACGTATATTGTACATGTATGTAACGTTATGGTGTCAATCTGTATAACTGGCATTCGCCGTCCGCTACTGTTCAGACAATTAAAATGAACATTGTCTCTCCGATTTGGAAATCTCCCATAGATACTAATACTATTGTCAGTGCTTTAATTTACATTGACAGTCATGAACTCCTGCACAGCCCTGTTATCAAACAAAATCTTATTTATGCAACATGAGATGAAACACTGTCTGCACAGGATTCTATAATACGCAATTTAACAGGGTGGGTTTCAGTCCTAATTTGACTGCCGAAAAACTACAAGAAGTCACTTACATATTGTTCAGTGTGACTCAATGAAGAGTGATCACGAGTAGAAAAGTATCACTCAGTCATCTGTACGTATGCCAACTGATCAGCTTCTAGTTGTGCATAGAATTCACCACCAAACAACAAACATATATAGAAGATTGTTGTACGGTGATTGTTCAGGTTAAAGAATCGTGTACGATGACAAACTGAATGAATTAAGGGTAAAAGTTTGTTTGCAAATGGAAAACGTGTTGACAGAAGTGCTTGGATATTGCATGCACGTATATTAATCTTGATGTCGCTCCCACTTGTGCATGTTAAAGCAATGTCAGTGATATGGTCTGATCTGGTTCAACCAGCTAATTCACGTTACCGCGAGTTGTGATTTCTACCAGTCGTTACACGGATAATTATAAATAGTCTACAAGGAATCTTGTGTCTAATTGAAAAGTTTCCATATTCGTTTTTGCTGGTAAATATTGATTTTCGTGTGTTGATGATTATGATGCTCGAATGTTTTGTTCCCTATTGCGTGCCCTATTCAACGCATGCCAAAAACAGTAACCCTTTTAAGTCTGAGTTGTTTTACTACTGTTGAATCAGTCAAATGTTTGCAAGCTATTATATTTGTTGTGTCGCTCGAAATAGGAATTTGAAAAAATGGTTATTTGGGTGAGTTGGGCTTCAAAAGGATATTCCAAGGGTATTAAGTTTAACGTTTTTAAGTTATGTCCGAAAGATCAAGATTATTATAAAGCATGGTGCTTAAATCTTCAAGACACACAAACGTTTGATTTGTATCAACCTTTCCGGAAACTACTACTATGAGAATTACTTATTACAGTCCCCTTATTTACTGTAACAAGATAAAGCTGAACATGTCTACGGAAGAGTGGTCACACACACTGTTAGTATACTGGTTCGTAACTCGGCAAACTGAATTTAGAACTACAATAAGGCTGAGCATCTTTGTGATGAATATTGATATTTAGTTGCACTATTTCCTCAGAAATGTGGTGTTTATATGAAATGACAAATGCGTTGTACATTATTGCATGCATTATTCTAACTAAAATATAACACTTCACCAGTGTCCATGATCCTTCTACTTACTAGTTCATTGACTCATTTGTGGCTACTAGAGTACTATGTGGACATACTTGAGAATTTCTATTGTGCACGTCGCTTCTAGCACCACAAATCGCTCCACGAAACAACTATTCTGTGACTAATATTAAAAGACACTTGTTTGTTATCTGAGGTGAAATCAAACGCGAAGCAATAGTTGAAGTGATAGTGGTAAATAGCTCATTTAATATTCGCCACACAGAAAAACAGCTACTTGTGTGTATGTGCTTAGACTGATCAGCTTCAAAGCTAGTCATCGTCCATGCACAGCTGATTTGGTGATGTTTGACAGTCGGATAATGATAGGGCAGGAAGTAAACAACGTAAATCACAGTGCACACAAGTGTAATAATATCTGATTAGTGCATGTACATCACTTGTCTGATAACAGTTATTGTGTATGCCAAGCATTCTGAAGACGATACCACGATTTCAAATTCATTGTTGTGCATGTGTGTTTCAGTATCGCTTTGAGGTGTATTAACTATGATTAATGCTGTCTGCGTTCCGCTCTGTAGCGGTGTGTGCTTTTTCATTTTGTGACACTGAACTTACTTGGTTTCGGTTTTCCATTGACAGTCGTAGTGGTGATCGATATGGTTTCCGGTGTTCTTGTGGTAGCTGTCAAAAAGAAGGTTGAAACACATCAACAATGATATTGATTTGGTTTAATTGCGACTAGTTGAAATTATGGTTTCCATATTATTCCTGTTTATCGATGTGGACTTCCACATGGACAATATTCATGATCATTTGATGTTATCACTGTCTGTGGTTTGATACTTGGTTTCCCCTACACCTGACGTATATTGTACATGTATGTAACGTTATGGTGTCAATCTGTATAACTGGCATTCGCCGTCCGCTACTGTTCAGACAATTAAAATGAACATTGTCTCTCCGATTTGGAAATCTCCCATAGATACTAATACTATTGTCAGTGCTTTAATTTACATTGACAGTCATGAACTCCTGCACAGCCCTGTTATCAAACAAAATCTTATTTATGCAACATGAGATGAAACACTGTCTGCACAGGATTCTATAATACGCAATTTAACAGGGTGGGTTTCAGTCCTAATTTGACTGCCGAAAAACTACAAGAAGTCACTTACATATTGTTCAGTGTGACTCAATGAAGAGTGATCACGAGTAGAAAAGTATCACTCAGTCATCTGTACGTATGCCAACTGATCAGCTTCTAGTTGTGCATAGAATTCACCACCAAACAACAAACATATATAGAAGATTGTTGTACGGTGATTGTTCAGGTTAAAGAATCGTGTACGATGACAAACTGAATGAATTAAGGGTAAAAGTTTGTTTGCAAATGGAAAACGTGTTGACAGAAGTGCTTGGATATTGCATGCACGTATATTAATCTTGATGTCGCTCCCACTTGTGCATGTTAAAGCAATGTCAGTGATATGGTCTGATCTGGTTCAACCAGCTAATTCACGTTACCGCGAGTTGTGATTTCTACCAGTCGTTACACGGATAATTATAAATAGTCTACAAGGAATCTTGTGTCTAATTGAAAAGTTTCCATATTCGTTTTTGCTGGTAAATATTGATTTTCGTGTGTTGATGATTATGATGCTCGAATGTTTTGTTCCCTATTGCGTGCCCTATTCAACGCATGCCAAAAACAGTAACCCTTTTAAGTCTGAGTTGTTTTACTACTGTTGAATCAGTCAAATGTTTGCAAGCTATTATATTTGTTGTGTCGCTCGAAATAGGAATTTGAAAAAATGGTTATTTGGGTGAGTTGGGCTTCAAAAGGATATTCCAAGGGTATTAAGTTTAACGTTTTTAAGTTATGTCCGAAAGATCAAGATTATTATAAAGCATGGTGCTTAAATCTTCAAGACACACAAACGTTTGATTTGTATCAACCTTTCCGGAAACTACTACTATGAGAATTACTTATTACAGTCCCCTTATTTACTGTAACAAGATAAAGCTGAACATGTCTACGGAAGAGTGGTCACACACACTGTTAGTATACTGGTTCGTAACTCGGCAAACTGAATTTAGAACTACAATAAGGCTGAGCATCTTTGTGATGAATATTGATATTTAGTTGCACTATTTCCTCAGAAATGTGGTGTTTATATGAAATGACAAATGCGTTGTACATTATTGCATGCATTATTCTAACTAAAATATAACACTTCACCAGTGTCCATGATCCTTCTACTTACTAGTTCATTGACTCATTTGTGGCTACTAGAGTACTATGTGGACATACTTGAGAATTTCTATTGTGCACGTCGCTTCTAGCACCACAAATCGCTCCACGAAACAACTATTCTGTGACTAATATTAAAAGACACTTGTTTGTTATCTGAGGTGAAATCAAACGCGGAGCAATGGTTGACATGGTCATCGTAAACTGCTCATCATTTTACCGAAACATAATGGAACTTTTGTTTTGTTGAATTGGTTATTTACAAATTTATATACGCTGTTGTAGTTCATCTGAATTGTACATTAATCGATCGATTTGGTTGTCCTCATGCATATAGTTTTTCACCTGATTTCTGTAAATCTTACAGCTCTGCTTCCGTGATTGAAGTCCACCTCTAACATTTTGTACGGATCTAAGGATTGCTTGGTAAACTGAAATCAAACGCTAAAGGTTGTTAATCGACAAGTACACACTGCTAGCGAATTTTCTGTTTCACATATCACTTATCGCATCACCTTTACGTAAGATGTTAATCACCGTCATTTGCTTGCACGAGATTCTGTCCTAAAGACGTGAAGAACTAAGTTATATTTGCGAATTGTATGATGTGCGTTAACTTAAAGTCCCTATAGTGATGTGAATAAAAGTGATAAACCAAAGTCTGTTGGGATTTTTAAACAAGGGGACATAATGAAGTCAAAGTACTACTCTTAAATCAGGTATCCTCAGACATCATTTTTATTCCCTTATACTTGATGAGCGAAAGTATACTTGAGGCGATGCTTTTGACGCGTGAACGGGATTGCTCATAATTCGGTATTCACAGTCCAAGCGACTTATCTCCTTCAGATATATCAGCTTTACTTCTCCCACGAACCATAATCGTGTGATATTTCGCAACAATATAAGTAGAAAAATGTTGTAAGACTTACTTCGTTTTTTTCTTTTTGAAGTAGTTGGGCTTGTGCATCTAGCAGACCCTGCAAGCAGACAAATACAAAGTGAACGAAAATATAAATGAGTTTCAAAAAAAGTGTAGTGCTGTCGCAGATTTCGACAGCTTAATAAAGACATTACTCTTTAATACTATGTATTTGGTACGTACGTTAAAACTGTTAATAGTATGTGTGAAACACTGTTTACACAATGACAACTTCCTGCTAACAGTTTTGAAACGCATATAATCACCTAGGCAACCATTTAAGACATTAGTGCTTTCATTGTTAATAAATTATTGAAGGTTTGATAGATCCATTCACCGAAAATGAGTTGTACTCGCTTAGTTTGTGAAGTGTTAAACTAACAGTATTCATTCATAAGATGTTTCGAGTGAAGCGTTTTAAGTATAAGATTAGTGTTTGTACATGGTAAGAAATAAAAAACGGGTAGGTTAAAAGCATATATATTCCATAACATTGAGATAGTAAAAAATATGGTTCTTGATATGATGAACCATTACTGTGCAGCGTGTAGTAATTGTAAACTTACCGTTCTGTGGATTCCCACAAACGACCAAGACGATAACCAAAGTGTTGAGTAAAATATTTGAAAAAAACCGTAAACATTAATCGGTATATTTCGTAAACTCACGATTTTTGGCTGGTCTAGGTCTATAAGTTGTCTTATTTGCTGAAATCAATGCGAAACAAACAATCTGAACAATAGACAATGATAGTAACTTTAAAAGTTCATCTGGCAGAAAAATGCGGATGAGTATTCATGAGAACATTTATGTAGCGGTTGAGAGGGAATAAAAATTGCCATTAGTAGATGAGTGCATGTTTTACTGAAAATTGATGTGGACCAACAACAAACATGGGTTTAACCACAACGTTCACAAACTCATACGCTAGATTAACGATAAGGTAACAAACGAATGAAGTATCATGAGTGACAAATGTATAGCAGTCTCATATTTCACCAATTTTCGATGCGTTTTTACTGATCGGTTTCAAAGCTAATCATCATCCATGCAAAGTTGATTTGGTGATGTTTGACAGTCGGATAATGATAGGGCAGGAAGTAAACAACGTAAATCACAGTGCACACAAGTGTAATAATATCTGATTAGTGCATGTACATCACTTGTCTGATAACAGTTATTGTGTATGCCAAGCATTCTGAAGACGATACCACGATTTCAAATTCATTGTTGTGCATGTGTGTTTCAGTATCGCTTTGAGGTGTATTAACTATGATTAATGCTGTCTGCGTTCCGCTCTGTAGCGGTGTGTGCTTTTTCATTTTGTGACACTGAACTTACTTGGTTTCGGTTTTCCATTGACGGTCGTAGTGGTGATCGATATGGTTTCCGGTGTTCTTGTGGTAGCTGTCAAAAAGAAGGTTGAAACACATCAACAATGATATTGATTTGGTTTAATTGCGACTAGTTGAAATTATGGTTTCCATATTATTCCTGTTTATCGATGTGGACTTCCACATGGACAATATTCATGATCATTTGATGTTATCACTGTCTGTGGTTTGATACTTGGTTTCCCCTACACCTGACGTATATTGTACATGTATGTAACGTTATGGTGTCAATCTGTATAACTGGCATTCGCCGTCCGCTACTGTTCAGACAATTAAAATGAACATTGTCTCTCCGATTTGGAAATCTCCCATAGATACTAATACTATTGTCAGTGCTTTAATTTACATTGACAGTCATGAACTCCTGCACAGCCCTGTTATCAAACAAAATCTTATTTATGCAACATGAGATGAAACACTGTCTGCACAGGATTCTATAATACGCAATTTATCGAGGTTGATTTTTGTTGGGTGTATTAACTCATGATACCTTTGTTGTTATTGAATCCTTGATGCCGTATTCTAAACACAGTAGATTCTTTTGTACTTATGTACTACTTCTTGATCCGACCACGATATTTCTAGGCATCTCAGTTCGTCCTGTGATTCAAAGTTTTCTAATCATATTTGCGTCGCGATTGAGCCTGCGATGGAACAGTTAGATATTCATTTAACTTCTGAAACTTTTAAGGATTACTTTGAAAGGTTCGAAATCCGAGCTATGACCAAGGAAGATGATGTGGATGTGAATATTGTATCACTTTTCCTCACATCCATCGGAAAAGAAGCATATAGTCATGATCGAAAACCCGATGTAGTTTTGATAGATGCTGATTTTACTAATGATCCTTTACTCTGCAATGACATTCTTAGTAAATTTAAGGAAGCTACCTCAGAAGAATTTAATTTCGATGTCATATCAAATATTATTTGTCCTCATAATGCATTTGTTTCTTGTGGGAAACTTGTTCAGTGCGAAGCACATGTACTAAATGAGCTCTAGTCTGATTACGATTCGGATGATTTCATATCAGTTGCTGCTTATACTTATCAGGAAGTCATTTCTAATGTTTACTCTAACCAATGTGAGAAATATATTTTAAATGAAGCCACATCATTCATAACTTGGGGATATAAGGATCCAACATCATTTCGTGAGGGAGGATAGTGTTTGGAAGTCTGTGCATTAAATTCTAGATAGTCGTTTAGGTACACAACCAACACGGTGATTGCATACAATCCCATGAATCAAGTGAGTCTGTTCCGAATTCGGTTGTTAATTCCAATACTAATTAGCACATTCTAGATAATACAGAGTTTTTATCCAATACAATGTCGGACAGACACAGGATGAACTTAAGAAGTGCAGATTACAGACACTTAGACTCTTATTAAGCTGTGGCGGATGTGGTATTTGAATGATTTAATGATTCTCTTGTACTTGTTGAATTCTTGATTCCCAATTCTAAATACGTCACATTCGTTTGTGGTTATCTAGTACTTCTTGATCCGATTACGTTATTTTTAGGATTCTTAGTTCATACTATAATCCAGATACTTCTAATCATCATAGGCTTTCAGTACTAATTTGTCTGCCGACAGACTACATGAAGTCACTTACATTTATTTAAGTGTCATTCGGTATATCTGGCATCCGTCTTTTTCTATTTTTCTGTCCTTTAAATTTATCTTTTTTCTATTATTTTTGTGTTTATTTTTTGTCTTTCTTTCGTCTTTCGTTTTCAATCTTTTTTTATTTTTATCTTTTTGTTTTCCAATTATTTTTAATTGTTCGCTTTATTGTAATTTGCTGTATTTTTTACTTTTTTTCCGTTTTCAATTTTTTTCCGGTTGTAAACAAATAGTAAGTATATTTATTGAAATACTGACTTACATTTTGGGATTTTCTTTCTTTGATCTTAAACCAATCCAAAGTTATTTGAAATTAAGTTGTTGAGAATATGTTAATGAATTTTTAAAAGACTCACATTAAACACATAACTGTCCTACTACTAATTAACGAACTTTAAAACTATCGATAGAATTTTAAAGATTTTCAGTCTTATGATTTATTACAACGATCAAGAAACAACTATAAGTGACTTAACTTTCTGTCTTTCGAAAAAGGTAAACGATGAGTGTGAGGCAAGAAATCCGATTCCGTAAGAAACAAACTCGTTTAAAAATAAACGATAACCACAATTAAAATTTAAACCATTTTGACCTTGTGCTACGAGTTCAAGAATGAATTATGATGCTTCATATTGAGAAACAAGATTATTCGAGATTTGCTAGGACGATGCCTCTTCTAACAGCCCGAGCAACAAATCTTACGGGTAAGTGGAATGTCCGGACAGTGCGATAGACCGGGAGAGCCAATCAAACAGCAAGAGAGATGAGGAGATATAACCTTGACGGTGCACGTCATAAGTGAAACCCATTTAACTTCAGTTGAACAGAAAAGGATAGGTGCTGCTGCACTCTAATCACAAAGGAGAAAATGCTCCACACACTCGGGGAGTTGCTCTGATGCTGTCTCAAGAGGCACGTAATGCACTTATAGGGTGTGAATCTCATGGACCCAAGATCATCACAGCGGCCCTCAAAATAAACATGGGGGAAATCACAATGAATGTGATCCTAGGTTATGCACTCATTAATGATATCAATGACGCTGATAAATATCAGCCCTTCCAAAGGCTGCAATCAAACATAGCGAAGTGCACAAGAAAGGACCTAAAACTCCTGATGAATATATAAACGGATTTGAAAATATCGAGAGATATGAACTTGATAAAGAAAAAAGTGGTGAGATATAAGAACATCTAAGTGCATTCAACAAAAATTGTTGTAGGTGGCATTCTATTCCTTCACAATAGATGTAAGAATTGAGGGAGGAGCTGATGTAGCTTCAGATAACCATCCACCTGGTTGTTGCCAGGATCAAACTGAATTTAAAAAAACACTGTAAAGCTGGACAAACGGCACTACAAATGCTCATTACAGCCTTCCTTTGAGATGCTAACAAACGCTACGAATTCAGTGTTACTCTCAACAACTAGTTTCAAGCCTTGCAGGATCTACTGAGAGAAGAAGAATCTACTATGGAGGAAACTGGAAAGGTATCAAAGAAGCACTATCCTCAACGTGTGAGTAGCTGCTTGGTATCAAAAGCACCATAATAAAGAATAGTTCTCTATCGAAACCCTGGATCACAACCAGGAATAGAGGGTCAAGAAGTCAGAAATTAACAACAGTTAAAGCGAGCCAATCACTGAAATTCAAGGGCGGGGGGACAGATGGATGGAACACTTCGAAGAACCCTAGAATATGCCAGCTTCATTGAATCCACAGGATATCGAAGCAGCAACTACAGACCTTTGTATAGATGTTACTCTCAACACAGTTGAGGATATCAAAATGGCCATCAGAAAAAACAGGTCTATGAAAGCAGCAGAACCCAAAAATATACCAGTTGAAGCACTAAGGTGAGACACTGAAGTAACTTCAAAGATGCATCACGTCCAATTCAGATAGGTTTGAGTGGAAGACCGGTTTGAAACAAGATTACTTACTTTCCCTCTTTCTTTTTCTCCTGTTGAATGACTTGACTGTGAAGACCTCCACATCTGACCGGAAGCACGGAACGCAATGCGCAGCTAACATGTAAGTAGACGATTTCAGCTTTGCAGACCACCCAGCTCTTTATCCGATACTTTATAACACAGAAAATCAAGGCAGTTAGTATGGCAGAAGCA